CTTAAGAAAACGCCCAGGGTAAACTGCGTGAACGTCCCTAGAAAGTACGTTGTGTGTCGGGGCTTGACTGCATCCCTTCGTAATAATTTTCGTGAAGAAAACTTTCCTTCTGTCTTATAGTCGCGTCTGTTGCTGCAGCATCTCCAGCGACTGCCACCCAAAATCCCCATATGGCAGCATCAAAGCATCCGACTGCTGCAGTATCTCCAGCTGGAAGCAGTTGCTACCCAGAGCCGCTGCTATTCTGTTGTTGACGTGAGGTGCTTGTTGCTTGCTGAAAATCGAACCCGTTGTCAGAATGCTGTATTGTCTAGTCTGTAGTGGGGTACTCTATAGTGAGTACAACCCTGTTAGGGTTTGCTATATGTATCCCATTGCTTTCTCGTCAAACCCTCTTCTGCTGTTCTTCATTTGTACTCATATTTCTGACATGCTATCAGAGCGAGTATGCTCCTAGCCTGTGGGCCCACCTGCTTCCGCTGCTGTCCTGTCTGTCGCGCGCCCCGTGGCGCGCGACGTTTTTTCTTCCCGCCACGCGCTCGAGGCGCATGGCGGCTTTTTCTGCCCGCCGCGCGCTCGGGGCGCGCGGCGGTTTTCTGCCTGCCATGTGCCCCGAGGCGCGCGGCGGTAAACTGCCTCGCGCGTCACCCTGGGGACCCGCGAGTCCCCCCCGTCTACCGTCGCGTCGCCCTGGGGACCCGCGCGCGGCCCCCGCCATCCCGTCGCGCCGCCCTAGGCACCCGCGCGCGCCCCGTGCGCTCCCGCCGCGCCGCCCTGGGGACCCGCGCACGCCCCCTGTTCTCCAGTCGCGCGGCCCTGGGGACCCGCACGCGCCCCCCCGTGCTCCCGGTGCGCCGCCCCGTGCCCCCGTGTGCCCCGTGCCCCCGTGGTGCTTCCTCCCTGCGGGCGGCGAGTGTGGGGGTGGCAAGTATGGGGGTGACGGGTGTGTGAGGCCTCCCTTGCTCCTCCTCCTCCTCTCTCTCCCACTGCTGCAGCTGCCGCTGAGGGGGTGGATGTGTGGGAGCCGTGGGAGTGGCGCTAGGGGGGTGTCGTGGGAGTGGAGCTAGGGGTGCAGCAAGGGGTGTGTGAAAGGGGTGTGGGACAGTTGGGGGAGGTTGAGCGGAGGTAGCCGTCGTGACGTCAGCAGCGCCAGTAGTCCGGGGCCCTTGCTCCGGTAGCCCAGCGAGCCTGCTGCGCCAGTCGCCCGTGGGTCCGTTGCTCCTGCCGCTCGTCTTAGCCGCGGAGCCAGTTGCTCCGGTAGCCACCGTGCGCGCCGCTCCTGTTGCCCGTGTGTCTGCGGCTTCACCCGTCGCCTCCTATCTCCACTCCTCTCACAGTCCCTCCTCCTCCTCACTTGCCCTCTGTGATTGCCTCTAGCTTTGCTTGTGCTTGTGAACTTCTTATGCGACTGCTTGCTGTGCTGATCATACCCCACTTTGCCTATGGGAGTGTGTCAGAATGCTGTATTGTCTAGTCTGCAGTGGGGTACTCTATAGTGAGTACAACCCTGTTAGGGTTGCTATATGTATCCCATTGCTTTCTAGTCAAACCCTCTTCTTCTGTTCTTCATTCGTACTCACAGTTCTGACACCCGTCCCAAAATTTATTTTGTCGTGACTCCCAATCGTTTTGGCGCGTCGTCGAATAGGGTCGCCAAAACAGGCGAAATCGTTGTAGCACATCAGCGACATTCGACGAGAAAAGCGATGTCACATAACTGACCGAGTGTTAGTCTTGAAAAGTCCGTTGAAGACCTGAACTCAGGTTGTGATGATGTCAGCATCACCGGCGACTTTGTCGTAACTCGCCGAGGCCTTTTTCGTGATTCTCAGAAAACTCCTAGGTAGGGGCGAAAACACAACTACTCCTCCTCCCCCTGTCCCTTGAAATATTTTTGAATTGCCGATGACGTCAGCTACCTTGGCGACGTTGTCGCTACTTGCCGAGAATCTCCAGGCAGGGGCAAAAACAGCTGTCGCCTTCTCCTCCCACCAGCTACAGAATTTCTCCTGGTGTTGTCGCTGGTACTCTTTTAACGACGAGTTCTTTCACGCGCTTAATCAAGCGTTGCTGCAACTCCAGCGTTGGCACGAATACTGTCAAGCCTCAAGGCTGACTCCGTTAAAACTCATCCTCGGAACTGCTCGCCCCCCGCAAATGTCGAAAATGAAAGCACACCACGAAAATTTAGTTCAAAGGTAGGTTGTTCCCCGAATTCTTCGGTCGTGAACAGCGTGCCCACCCGTCGCCTGTCTTCTTTCGTGCGGTTAACCAGCATCGCGACCCACCAAAAGGGGGTGTGCTTCCTGCATGGAACCCAATAATTTATGGGTCTACCGAGACTGAATTTCACGGAACCTAGCCCGCATCCACGCCGTCGATCTCGTCGTCGAACTTCCTTGACCGCTTCAAAGATACACCGTGAATTCCTTTGGCGAGCAAACGTTCACCCGTCTCCCACGGCCTATTTATTATTTTCACCACCCCACCAGTATCGGCGAGCCACTGTTCACCCAACAGCCGCGTTTGTCAGATGAGGTATATCTCCGTGTTGCCCGCGATTTTTATGACATTCGATGAAGGCGCGAACGTTATCGTAGTCGGGGTGAGTTTATCGTATCAAACTCCCACTCGGCCGCTTCATTGCCCACCGTGCCTATCGCGCGTAAAACTTTATAGCTTTGAGGGCTCCGTCTTCACCGCTATACCATCATCGGGTAGACCGTTAAATTAGGAGAAACGCCGCAAGCTGCCTCTATTTCTTCAGCTCCGACTTTTTCAACGGAGTAAACGTTGCCGATGGTCTGTTTTTGTCGAGCCGAAAACAGTGTTGTGTCACTCCGCGCGCCACCTGAAACTAATTTCTTTTACACCAGCAGACAAACTTGCGCAATACCCGCGCTTTTTTAACCAGCACAGGGCTAAACACAGGGCCCCACCTTTTCGTCCAGGGCCAACAGGTCCTATAACGCCTTTGAGGCACCTGGTGTGAGGTATGAGAGCCGCTGTAAGACTTTGGCCGATAGGGAGCTCGATCTGCTACCGCCGCTTTGCCGCGAAACCCGACCTCAGCAAATTGTCTTTTTTGGTAGGTCGTTCTCTCACCTTCTAAAGCTGAAACCCGCTTCTTTCGCCCGACCTGTATTTGACGCGAGTCCGTGTTTTTTAGCCGCTTGAACCCCCGAAACTCGCAGGTCTAGACGCTGCGTCGAGCCGATGTTCCGTGGTGTACTGGGCTGTCTGCAAACACTGTTACCTCTGGCCGGAGAGAATAGTGCCGCTTGAAGTGCAGAATCGGGTGCCACTGTTGCTCCGAAATTTTCGCCGATTTATCATTGTGCCATAAACAATTGTCACCCAAGCCGAAACAGTTTGGTCGTAGGCGGCCTTTTCCGAGCTTTTCGGAGGTCTGAAATAACGAATTCCGTCTCACACTGCGCCGCTCCTGCCGAACAATGCCCACAATGCACCCTCCTGCCAGCAACACCCCCGCACGCCGCCTCTCCTCGCCGTCGTTTTTTCTGGCGCAAGTCACTAGCACCTGGCTTGCTCGACCAGCAGTCATTTTCCATGTGCTGCTACTCCGAAATCTTCACGCACAGTGACCACGATTGCCACTTGCCGAAATCTTCTCCTCCAACAGCCCGTGCACAACGTGACAAAAACGCCCCAACGCCACTTGCTGCAGGCAGTAGTTCCGATTTTGTCACGCGCGGTTGAGGACCACATGTAGAACGTCAACTCGCACCACGTTCGCCTCCGACAACTTCGGACGTGCACTGACGGCATCCTGTCGACGTCAGCTGCCACACAAATTAACTCTGAAGCTGACAAAAACGCACGCAATTTACTCACGCACTTAATGCGACCACAACAAAAGCTGTTCGCCACCCAGGAGAGGGACGCCATGGTCCATCTCGACCGTCGAGGGCAAGGATCCGGCGGTGCCAAAGGAGCGTCTGGCAAATTAATGGCCGCTAGGAGCAACTACCCGTTCTCCAGGCCTGCTAGCGCGCTGCTCCTGGACCCCACGGCATCCTTCCCTCGTTTTCCCCCCTTCCCCCCCCTCCTCCTCGAAGGGTATTACACTCTAAAAAGCGAGGTGAGCTAGGAAAGTACCTCTGATACCCAGTGTTATGAGTTGTACATTCAGTGTGCGCGGAAGAATACTATATAGCGGAAGCAGGGCTTCAGATTCGTTTTGGGCCACCCTTAGTAATCAGGGTTCTAGGTATAGTCAACCCTGATGCGTAGGGTATTTTTTTATTTCCCCTGACAAATGCAGGGTAAAAAAAATGTAAGTCTGCTTGGCCAGGGTAGTTTTTTCAAAACACTGATATAAATATTTGAAAGATACGAAGCATAACACTTAGTAGTTCAGTTGGTTCAGGCTCACATCAGATCTGAATGGTCGCGGGTTCAAGTCTCATAGTTGGGAGTATTTTGCAGGGGCCTGTACACGGTTTCGCCTCACTTCGGAGCATTCGGTATTAGTGTAACTGGGCTTGTACACTGTACAGTCAGAGAAATATGTTCCTTACGCTGTTTTTCAAAGGGTACAAAAAAACTTACACTTTCTGGCCTAGGGTAAAAAATCCACTACCCTGCCTGTGAAAGGGTAACTGAAAAAAAGCGGCCGCCAGTCAGTGCAAAAAGGGTATTTTACCCTGATAACAAGAGGCCTGAGCGGAAGTGATTACAGAATTCTCCGAATACAATGAAAGTAGCAAGAATGTTTATGGCGAAAACGTGCTAGGCGAGGACCTCGTGCTGTGCGAGGGTTGGATGTGTCGCGATTGGTGCGGGGTGACTCGGAGCTGGTTCGGTGCAAATAGGCCGAGCCACTTTGACACGAAGTGCTCGGGGCTATCATCGCTAAAGGCAGCTCTACAGTAATGAATTGTGTATTCATTACAAATACGTAGAATCAGATGGACATTCGGTTTGCGTTTCAATGCGAATTCGGGAGTGTCAGGTGTGTGCATACACGAATCCATGCGTCATGGCTGATACACAGCCATCCCCGATAGAAGCCTCTGCCACCAAAGAGCAGACGCCTTGGGTGTTCTCTTCAGTATATGGGTGTTGCGGTCCACATGCACGAGGCCGAAGCGGCGTGAGTACCCCATCTGCCACTCGAAGTTGTCCATCCACGACCATGCCATGTACCCCCTCACATCCGCCCCTTGCCTGCCAGTCATGTGTGGAGGGAGAGGGGTGAGATGGGGGGGGGGGGGACGAATGCATGTCAGCATGCACCTGGTAACGTCAGCATGCATTGATAATGTCAGATTGTGTCTGATGATGTCAGCTTGTGTCCGATGATGTCAGCATGCTGAAAACGATGTTGGCATATGTGGAATGCAGTGAGGACACATGCAACGATGACAGGATGCATGGGGAGGTTTGAGACGCGATGCCATGACAACTGATGCCATGACATGGCAGCGAGCACCTCAAGAGCCAACTGCATGAGTGAGCAAGAGGGCCTCAACTTGTTGTTTCTCAGCCTATCCCTCACATGGACAGTGGAACTTCAATACAGTCCCCCTCTTCCTCCCTTCATGCAAAGCCTGTGGTAGCCATTTCTGATTTGGGAATAGAGCATCAACTTACCATTGGCTTGGACGAATGCCCAGCTGTCATAACTACGTGACTCTCGCCACCATAGCTGTACTGCATGTGTCCTTGATGGATCATGCTCGCTCCCACACTTGAGACGTCCCTAACACCGACAGGCAGTGGCGGACAGCCATGGGGCAGCAAGGTGCATGCCACTGAAAAACAGGTGCTACTGCTGTGGCTACGCCAGTCTGACTTGCCTGATTGTGCTGAGAAGGCGCAAAAGGCACGCATGCTAGGGGCAGATGCGGTGCCATCACGTGTTAACACCAGTCTGACTCGTGTGGTGAGGGAGAAGGCGCTCATGTCTTACCTGATGGCGCTCATGTCTTACCTGATGGCGCTCATGTCTTACCTGATGGCGCTCATGTCTTACCTGATGGCGCTCATGTCTTACCTGATGGCGCTCATGTCTTACCTGATGGCGCTCATGTCTTACCTGATGGCGCTCATGTCTTACCTGATGGCGCTCATGTCTTACCTGATGGCGCTCATGTCTTACCTGATGGCGCTCATGTCTTACCTGATGGCGCTCATGTCTTACCTGATGGCGCTCATGTCTTACCTGATGGCGCTCATGTCTTACCTGATGGCGCTGACAAGGTGCGAGAGGCACTTGAGGGCACGCGAGGCAGCACAACTTCACAATGTGATGCAAATCGCTCATGGCGATATGCGCGGTGGAGGGGGCCAGGGACGATACTAAAACGGCTTGAGGTAACGCGAGTCAAACGTACCTGATGGCGCTGAGGAGGTGAGAAAGGGACGCGTGGTAGTAGAGATGCCATGGGAATTGCTTGTGACAGTGTGTAGCACGGGAGGGGGGGCTGTGAATTATACCAGAACCGCTTGGTAATGTGCGAGTGAAACGTACCTGATGGTGCGGAGGAGGTGGGAGAGGTACGCGTGGTAGAAGCGGATACGATGCAGGTCACTGGTGGCCAGCGTGCAGGGAAGAGGAGAGGCAGTGACTACACCAAAACCGCTTGCTAATCCCAGCCCGACTCACCCTATTGCGTTGAGAAGGTGCGAGATGTACGCGTGATAGTAGCAAATGCGGTGCTGGTCACTCGTGGCCACGTGGAGAGGCAGCGATGGGTCGTCCTCCTCATCTAGACCTGCAGGGATGTGTGGAGGTGTGGAGGTGTGAAGGAGGGTGGGGATAGGTGGGAGGACGGAGGGGAGGAGTGGAAAGGGGTGAGCCAGAGAGGGTTGGCTTGCGTGGCTCACTCGTTCTCCTCATTGGGCCCTGCAAGATGGAGGATGAGGGCTCAAGCGAGGAACGAAATATGATCATTCTGAGGTGACAGGGGACCTCAGTGGCGGTGGTGTGAGCCAAACCAAGGGAGTTATATGTGCAGGCCGGTGGTTGAGCGATGAATCAGAGAGGAGCGAGAAGGACGGGACAAGACGGAACAAGATCCAGACAGCAAGGCGACCTTCAGCGCCTCCCTAATCCTTAAAGGAGAATTTGGTGAACATGCACGGCAATTGCGATGGCATAAACGCTGCACGTACACTGCACTATGTGGCCCCTTTATTACCATTCTCTGTGATGTAGATGGGTGGTGCCCCATACGTGGCGGTGATGTGCATGAGCAGCTTTTGAAAGCCCCACGGCACCTCGTACAGCCAGGGGGATGCAGCCTGGCGTGACGCAGGTTGGTAGGTGTGCATGGGGAGAGGGAAGGGGGGAGAAAGGGGGTGAGCAGGTTGTGGAGTGCTCTCAGGCACCTCAACTCGTACGACCATGGTGATGCCGCCTGCAGGTGATAGGTTGGCGTGCGTGCACTGATCGGGATAGAGGGGCGAACAGGCGGGTGCACATGGCGTGAAGCCATGTGTAGCTGGTGAAGCCATGTGTAGCTGGTGAAGCGCGTTGAGGAAGGAAAGCAGCAGAGAGATGGGACACGGGTGCAGGATGGGAGGTGTGGGCGAGTGACAGGTGGGCAGCACTGAGTGATCCACATCGGCATGAGAACACATAGCTGTTATCAGTAGACAGGCGGGCTGCGGAGGTCTTATGTCCATCAACTTAGGTGGTTCTAGGATGACGAGTGACAGGTGGGCAGCACTGAGTGACCCACAGAATTGGCAATTGCGATGGCATGAGAACACATCGGCGGAGAGCAAGGGTGCATTGATGACAGAGTTGATCCAGGTGAAAGGGAGGCGTGAAACAACGTGCCTTTCTAACAGAATTCAGGGGCTTTAAGAATAAGGAGGAGACGGGAGGAGACGGGAGGAGAGGAGAGGAGAGGTGAGGAGAGGAGAGGAGGGGAGAGGAGAGGGGAGGGGAGGGGAGGGGAGGGGAGGGGAGGGGAGGGGAGGGGAGGGGAGGGGAGGGGAGGGAGGGGAGGGGAGGGGAGGGGGGAGGGAGGGGAGGGGAGGGGAGGGGAGAGGAGAGGGGAGGAGAGGAGAGGAGAGGAGAGGAGAGGAGAAGAGAGGAGAGGAGAGGAGAGGAGAAGAGAGGAGAGTGGAGGAGAGCAGAGCAGAGGAGAGCAGAGCAGAGGGGGTTGAATCACCTGTTGGCCAATCAGGCGGCCATCACGTTCAACTGCCATGTGATTGATTGCAGTGCCACGTGTGGAAGAGTGCAGAGCAGAGGAACAGCATGGAAAACCATGACGTGGACATGCCAAGGGTTGTGTGATGCATGCACGCATGGAAGGGGGACACGCATGGAAGGGGGACACGCATGGAAAAGGGACACGCATTGAAGGGGGACACGCACACAGGCAGGGAAACCTGTGTGAAAGGTGGTGATGGCATGGAGGTGCATCATGTAGACATGCCATGAGCATTGTGATGCATGCATGGAAGGGGGGAACATGCACTGGAGAGAGAGAGAGAGAGAGAGAGAGAGAGAGAGAGAGAGAGAGAGAGAGAGAGAGAGAGAGAGAGAGAGAGAGAGAGAGAGAGAGAGAGAGAGAGAGAGAGAGAGAGAGAGAGAGAGAGAGAGAGAGAGAGAGAGAGAGAGAGAGAGAGAGAGAGAGAGAGAGAGAGAGAGAGAGAGGGCGCCGCATGATAGAGGATCAAAGAGAAAAGAGGCGAAGAAGAAAGCAAAGGAAAAAGGAAGAGAATGAGAGTACGGGGAGAAGAGAATGAGAGTGAGAGTACGGGAAGAAGAGAACAGCAACATGCTCACACCATGAACAGCAACATGCTCACACCAAGAACAGCAACATGCACACACCATGAACAGCAACATGCACACACCAAGAACAGCAACATGCTCACACCATGAACAGCAACATGCTCACACCATGAACAGTAACATGCTCACACCATGAACAGTAACATGCTCACACCAAGAACAGCAACATGCTGATCATCAAAGTAGCTCCACAGCCTGCCTTTCTCGCCCCCATCTCCTGCATCTGCATGTGCAATGTATCTGGACGTGTAGTGGTTGAGCCCCACAAAGTCCACGCTGCCTTTAAGCGAGGCAGCTTGTAAGGGGGAGAAGGAGGGCAGGCGAGGACCCACATAGTGACGCATGGCAGGTGGGTAGGCGCCAAAGAATATGGGGTGCAGCAGCCTGGAGTGAGGAGTTACGGGGATAAGTGATGGAGGGGGCAGGGGTAACGGGGAAGGTGGGAAGAAGGGAAGGGGGAAATTCTCGTGGCTGCTGAACAATTAGTCATGCCTTCTGAGGTGCCTTAAAACAAGGAGCATTCGAAGCACCTGAAACATTAGATATGCAGGCAAGCAAGCAGTGGCACACAAGCTGTCTGAAAAGAAGCAGAGTCGCAAGGGGTTGTAAGAAGACAAACAGAGCCACCCACCCACCATCCGAGGTTAAATTGCATGCGCCTATCAGCCGCTGCCACGTCATCAGGGTGTTGCGAGAAGGGTTCCGCCCACTCACTGTCCACGGCGATGCCAATTTGGCCCCCTTGATGGGGCTGGCATGGTGTATGGCAGGGAGAGAAGACAGACAGGCAGAGGGAGAGAGAAGAGGAAGAGAGAGACGATTCATGCCGAAAAACCTTTGCCACCGTCCGGCGTTGTGGTGGCGGGGATGAAATGGAGGAAGAAATGGAAAGAGGGAATGAAAGAGGCTTGGTGGGGTGAAGAAAATAGAGGGAATGAAAGAGGCTCGGTGGGGTGAAGAAAATAGAGGGAATGAAAGAGGCTTGGTGGGGTGAAGAAAATAGAGGGAATGAAAGAGGCTTGGTGGGGTGAAGAAAATAGAGGGAATGAAAGAGGCTTGGTGGGGTGAAGAAAATAGAGGGAATGAAAGAGGCTTGGTGGGGTGAAGAAAATAGAGGGAATGAAAGAGGGTCGATGGGGTGAAGAAAATAGAGGGAATGAAAGAGGCTTGGTGGGGTGAAGAAAATAGAGGGAATGAAAGAGGCTTGGTGGGGTGAAGAAAATAGAGGGAATGAAAGAGGGTCGATGGGGTGAAGAAAATAGAGGGAATGAAAGAGGCTTGGTGGGGTGAAGAAAATAGAGGGAATGAAAGAGGCTTGGTGGGGTGAAGAAAATAGAGGGAATGAAAGAGGCTTGGTGGGGTGAAGAAAAGAGAGGGAATGAAAGAGGCTTGGTGGGGTGAAGAAAATAGAGGGAATGAAAGAGGGTCGATGGGGTGAAGAAAATAGAGGGAATGAAAGAGGGTCGATGGGGTGAGGGACAAGAAGGAATGGACGCGAGGCAACAAAATGGGGATTCTTCCTGGATTTCACGCATAAGGCTTTGCAATTGAAGGTATAAGGTTTGTTACTCACCCAAACAGTGTCTCCTCAGCACAGCAGCTCCAGCAGCCTCCGTTCATTAGGCGCCTCAAGAACCAGCACAGCAGCTGAAACCCACCTACCTGAAATTCCCTCCTGTAGCAGTCCACAGCAGCAGCGTGCGCCAGCAGCATGTGGTGAACCACCACATACGGCTCCACCGCCCCATCGCCCTCCGCACAGCACTGCCGGTCGGAGCAGCGCCCGGGGGCAAAGTCCCCCACAGCATAGCCCTTGGTGGCGAAGGTGTAGGGCTCGTTGAAGGTTAGCCAGTGAGAGACCCTGTCTCCAAACAAGGAGAAGCAGAGCGAGGCGAAGTCCCGGAACGCAGCACTGGAAGGAGGAACGGAGGGGAGGGGAGGGTGCAACAGTTGGGCCAATTCCCCCACGACATAGCCTTTCGTGGCGAAGGTGTAGGGCTCATTGTATGTGAGCCAGTAGGGCACTCGGTCGCCGAACAGGGAGAAGCAGAGGCGCACATATTCCCTCAATGCACCACTGGAGGGGAGAGCGAAGTGGAGAGGCAGGGGCAACGGTTTGAGCGCAATTCTCAAAGTCCCCACCCACGGCATAGCCCTTGGTGGCACAGGTGTAAGGCCCGTTGAAGGTGAGCCAGTAGGGCACTCTGCCCCGAACAGGGAGAAGCATAGTCGTGCGTAGCACAGTCTGCCACTAGGGCAGTCCTTGAATGCACCACTGGAGAAGGGGAGGGGAGAGGCACGGGCAACAGTTGAGTGCTAAGTAGCCCACAGCGTAGCCCTTGGTGGCGACAGTGTAGGGCTCGTTGGTGAGCCAGTGCGACAATGAGCCTCTGAAGAGGGAGAAGCAGAGCCGCGCGCAGGCCCGGAGAGCGGGGTGCAATGGGGAGAAAAGAATAAGCGGGGTGCAATGGGGAGAAAAGAATAAGCGGGGTGCAATGGGGAGAAAAGAATAAGCGGGGTGCAATGGGGAGAAAAGAATAAGCGGGGTGCAATGGGGAGAAGAAGAATAAGCGGGGTGCAATGGGGAGAAGAAGAATAAGCGGGGTGCAATGGGGAGAAAAGAATAAGCGGGGTGCAATGGGGAGAAAAGAATAAGCGGGGTGCAATGGGGAGAAGAAGAATAAGCGGGGTGCAATGGGGAGAAAAGAATAAGCGGGGTGCAATGGGGAGAAGAAGAATAAGCGGGGTGCAATGGGGAGAAGAAGAATAAGCGGGGTGCAATGGGGAGAAGAAGAATAAGCGGGGTGCAATGGGGAGAAAAGAATAAGCGGGGTGCAATGGGGAGAAAAGAATAGCAGACAGTGAAGAAGCGGAAAGTACTTGACTTTCAGTGGGGCTCGTTGAGGGCGAGTTTCAGTGGGGCTCATTGAGGGCGAGTTTCAGTGGGGCTCGTTGAGGGCGAGTTTCAGTGGGCCACTCTGTTGTTGTAATTCCATATTTTATACAACATGCATAGGCTAGACTTAGATGTGTAGCAGTCTTATAAATTGGGGGGTTGGTTAGTGTACCCTCCAACCACATTTTGTGGTTGGTGGGGATTGGTCCTTACCTCAACCAATCCCAACCAACACACATTTTGTGGTTGCTTGGGCCACAAGCAAACTCACCCATTGGCCAACTTATTGGCCAATAGGGTAAGCTTCCCTCTCATCTCTCTCTTGCTCATTGCTTGTACTAAAGAGCCTTTTGGCTCATTATTCAGTTAAAAAACAATTCTTCTTTCTCACATCTGTCACTGAAGGGACAGAAACAGAGCTCTCTGAAGGCGTATTCCTGAACGTGGACTGGGGAGGGTTGAGGGGGGGATATGAGATGGCGGGGAGCGTTGCCATTGGTGGCGAAGGTGCAGAGCCCGTTTAAGATAAGCCAGTGAGAGGCTCGACATCTACAGAATGCGCACGGCTCCAACTCTAGTGGCGCGGGGCTGGGAAGTGTACACCCAGCCCTACCAACGCGGGGCTGGGGAGGGTACACCCAGCCCTACCAACGCGGGGCTGGGGAGGGAATTCAGCGACAAAGGCCGTTCAGGCTCGACATCCACTCAAATTCCATGAATGCGGCGTGGGAATGGGGGGTGGTGAGGCAGGGGCAACCGTTGGGAGCAAAGTCACCAATGGAAGCACCCGCTGAATAAGGAGACATCGGGTCAAGGCAGGGTGATGGGCATTCAAGGCAGGGTGATGGGCATTCAAGGCAGGGTGATGGGCATTCAAGGCAGGGTGATGGGCATTCAAGGCAGGGTGATGGGCATTCAAGGCAGGGTGATGGGCATTCACGGCAGGGTGATGGGCATTCAAGGGTGAGGAACTCTCGCATGCTTGAGGCGCCTCACAAAGCGAGTCAGCAGAAAAGAAGTAGGCTAGGAGAGTGTGATGAGAGGAGTGGGATGCGAAGAGCAGCATGAGGGAGCACAATGCCCCAGCCGTCAGCACCATCTCCTTTGAAACCATCACCACCAACACACTCACTCACACTCAGTCATTCACACACACACTCACTCACACTCACGGACATTCTCACGCACACTTACTCACACTCAGTCATTCTCGCTCCCACTCACTCACACAATGGCCTCCCCTCTGAATCCGCCAAACTCCTCCTCCAGCGCCTGTGGCAGGTCCCAGTGAAAGAGCGTCACACACGGCGTGATGCCTGTGCGAGAGGGGAACCGGGAAGGGGGGGAAAAGGGGCGGGGGTGGGGGGGAGTTGGTGGAAGTTACAATGAGAAAGGACGGACGAGGCAAGGATCGAGGACAGTGTTGAGGAGGGCCTTGTTGCCTGGAAGAACCACCTACACCCAGGCTAACTTTTTTTTTCCTCCTCTCCTCCATTTGGACGTCATTTGTAGTAGCTTCTGCTCTCCTGGTTCACGGTAGGTAGGATGCTTTGGTAACACGTTTAACTCTCTGCTGACCTGCTGTGCTTCAAATACGAAAGACGGAGACAAGGAGAGATGGAGAGCTGTGCAAAGTGGTGCAATGTACTGCAAATCAATGCAATGAGGTGCAGAACGGTTGCAATAGGTGGCCCACCATTACGGAGCAAGCAATCGATGAGGCGGTTGTAGTAATCTATGCCCTCCTCGTTCACTGGCTGCCGCCCCGCTGTGAGCCCGTGAGAGCCGGCACGGAGAGAAACATAATGGAAGGGTATAGGCAGATGAAGTGCGATGGTTGTAATAGCTGAACCGAACGCCACGCCTTGTGTTGTTTGCAAAGATCAGAGACTCGTGCAGGCGGGTCTGAAGCAGAGGCTTAGATGCTCATGATCTTGCAGTTAGATAAAGACAACAGCAAGCAAGGGAATGAGGTGCAATGGGCACGCTTCCTGGGGTTAGCAGAACACGCTCTCATCAAGCACAGGATGACTCCTCAGCAGCCTTGCACGGAGTGTGCTGTGGAGCGCACAAGGCGAGGAAAGCGGACGCACAGGGGAGGAAAGTGTTGAAAAGCTAGAATAAATACATTGAATAATGAGCCAAGAGGCCCTTTAGTACAAACAATGAGCAAGAGAGAGATGAGAGGGAAGCTTACCCTATTGGCCAATAAGTTGGCCAATGGGTGAGCTTGCTTGTGGCCCAAGCAACCACAAAATGTGTGTTGGTTGGGATTGGTTGAGGTAAGGACCAATCCCAACCAACCACAAAATGTGGTTGGAGGGTACACTAAACAACCCCCCAATTTATATATGTGCTACAGATCTAATTCTAGCCTATGGATGTTGTATGAAATATGAAATTACAACACAACCCCCCAACATGCATAAGGCTAGAAGGCTAGAATCAAGAGGCGGGAGGCGACTTAGGAGGAGTGAGGCCAAGAAGACGAAGTAGGGAAGAGTGAGCGGCATAAGGAAGAGCTTTTGTGAAGATGTCAGCAAGATTGGCCGCCGAGTCAACCTTGTCGAGTCGAAGGTGTCTTGCTTGAACAAGATCGCGAATGAAGAAATGACGGAGCTCAATGTGCTTGGAGCGCCCATGAAACACAACATCTTTAGTGAGGTGAATGGTGCTAGCATTGTCACACCAAATGGTGGGACAGCGCTGGGGGGCACCAAGTTCCTCAAGGAGGAAGGTGAGCCAGCGGGCCTCTTGCGCAGCCATGGTGGCGGCATACAACTCCGCCTCGCAGGAGGAGAGGGCGACAACTGAGGAGCGGGTGGAGCGCCAGCTGATAAGGCCGCTGCCAAGAGAGAAGCCATAGCCCTGGGAGGAGCGACGATCCGGCCGGGAATCAGCCCAGGAGGAGTCACTATAGCTGCTGAGGAGAGGTGGGGAGGGGCCACCAAGGGTAAGGACATAGTCCTTGGTGCCACGAAGGTACCGGAGGACACGCTTGGCGGCCTGCCAGTGCTCTTCCGTATGCTTGCCTGCGCCAACAAAACGAGCGAGGACGCTGATGGGGTAGGCAAGGTCAGGGCGGGTAGAGACCATGGCGTACATGAGGGAGCCGATGAGTTCAGGATAAGGATGGGAGGAGGCTGAGGGGGAGGTGGGTGGAGAGAGGTGGTGCCCGACAGAAAGAGGAGTATGTTGGGCACCGCCCCGGGCCATGTCAAACCGCTCCAAGACCTGCTGCAAGTAATGACCCTGAGAGAGTGAGATGGTGCGGGCGGAGCGGTCGCGGGTGATGGTCATGCGGACGCACAGGGGAGGAAAGAGGACGCACAGGGGAGGAAAGCGGACGCACAGGGGAGGAAAGCGGACGCACAGGGGAGGAAAGCGGACGCATAGGGGAGGAAAGCGGACGCACAGGGGAGGAAAGCGGACGCACAGGGGAGGAAAGCGGACGCACAGGGGAGGAAAGCGGACGCACAGGGGAGGAAAGAGGACGCACAGGGGAGGAAAGCGGACGCACAGGGGAGGAAAGCGGACGCACAGGGGAGGAAAGCGGACGCACAGGGGAGGAAAGCGGACGCACAGGGGAGGAAAGCGGACGCACAGGGGAGGAAAGCGGACGCACAGGGGAGGAAAGCGGACGCACAGGGGAGGAAAGCGGACGCACAGGGGAGGAAAGCGGACGCACAGGGGAGGAAAGCGGACGCACAGGGGAGGAAAGCGGACGCACAGGGGAGGAAAGCGGACGCACAGGGGAGGAAAGCGGACGCACAGTGGAGGAAAGTGGACGCACAGGGGAGGAAAGCGGACGCACAGGGGAGGAAAGCGGACGCACAGGGGAGGAAAGCCGACGCACAGGGGAGGAAAGCGGACGCACAGGGGAGGAAAGCGGACGCACAAGGGAGGATGCGCGACCAGCTGATGGAGAAGCGGTAGGCTGAGAAGCCCACTTGCCTCATCAGTGCCACGTCCTCCTGCACTCACGCAGGCAGGCAGGCAGGGGGGGAAGGAAGAGAAAGGAGGGGAGGGATGTGGCGTGTGGAGCACACGGGGCAAGGGAAGGGGGCATACAAGGGAAGGGGGCATACAAGGGAAGGGGGCATACAAGGGAAGGGGGCATACAAGGGAAGGGGGCATACAAGGGAGGTGGGGCCGGCAGATGGTAGGCTGAGAAGCCCACTTGCCTCATTAGCCCCACATCCTCCTGCGCGCCCTGCCCTGTTACAGTGCGGCTTGAGGTCTGAGCGGTGACTGGCTAGCCATGCCCAGTAGTGAACACGCCTTGGGGAATGGTGCTTGGAACATGCAGCAGGGAGATACAGCAGTGGAGAAGGGTGCTGGTGGGGTGGAGCTGATTGGGTGGAGGTGGAGGGGCATGGCACGCACCTCGTATCGGTGGTATTGATCGCACGCCACGTCACCTGTGTCCCCGTTGTGTGTCCTTCCTGTAACACACAGAGTCGGCTGCACACTAGTTTGCAGAAAACAAGCATTAAATGGGATGAGTGTGTACTCACACATGCCTGAACATGCTCACACATGCCCGAACATGCTCACACATGCCCGAACATGCTCACACATGCCCGAACATGCTCACTCAAACCGACTCATGCACCTGCACGCGTGATCAAGCTAATGTAAGCACGCGTGCCTGTTGGACCTCTGTGCCAATAGCGCATGCCCGTTGGACCTCTGTGCCAATAGCGCGTGCCTGTTGGACCTCTGTGCCAATAGCGCATGCCTGTTGGACGTCTGTGCCAATAGCGCATCTTTTGTCTTGCTGTGTGCTGTAAGGTTAGTGCACACTGGCAAGAGTCTGCTGCATTACAACATGTACAGCACCTGACCTGCTACCGCACCTGCCCTGCTACCGCACCTGCCCTGCTACCGAACCTGCCCTGCTACCGCACCTACCCTGCTACCGCACCTGCCCTGCTACCGCACCTGCCCTGCTACCGCACCTGCCCTGCTACCGCACCTGACCTGCTACCGCACCTGCCCTGCTACCGCACCTGCCCTGCTACTGCACCTGCCCTGCTACCGCACCTGCCCTGCTACCGCACCTGCCCTGCTACCGCACCTGCCCTGCTACCGCACCTGACCTGCTACCGCACCTGCCCTGCTACCACACCTGCCCTGCTACCGCACCTGCCCTGCTACCGCACCTGACCTGCTACCGCACCTGGTGTGTGGGCGAACACGTCCCAGATGCTGGCTCCTCGCCCTCCTTCCCACGCTCCCCCCTCCACCTGTGCGCCCAGGGGAAGAAGGGGGAGAAGGCACGCAGCTAAGCTTTAGGTGTGGTGGGCACAGCACAGGAACGTTCCTCGCATCGCATGTGTGTGCTCACCTCACCTCACCTCACCTCACCTCACCTCACCTCACCTCACCTCACGGCCCCACGCCACCACCCACGTGTCATTGACTTGTCAGAACCTGCCCCCTCCCATGCAGGCAACCAGAGGAGCATGCGTGCGTTTATGGTTTAGGGTAACCAGCCGTGGGCCCTGCCAATCACCAACACGTCTGGACTCATGCCCTTCCGCCCTCCCTCCTTCCCTCTCCTTCCTCCACTACTCCCCCCTTGCCTGCGCCCCCACCTCGTTCCCCCATGCTCCCCCCTGCCCCCCCCACCTGGTAGGCGGCAGTGGCGGTGCCAAACAGGAATCCTGGCGGGAACATCTCTCTCCGCAGCGCTCCCCGCGTGCCCGCCTCCGCATCCCCGCGCGGATCCTTCTCCGCGGTCCCCGCAAGTCTCTCCGCCCGCGCGTCCTCCGCGCGGATTGGCAGCGCTTTCCCGCGCGCGACGGAACTTGTTACAAGCGCGTCCGCGAAGCGCCAGTGGCGGCAGCTGCTAGCGCTAAACTCGAGACAGCGTGAATTGCGGGGCGCGCTGCGGGATCTCTTGCGGCCGTTTCGAGGAACCTCAGAGCGGGATCGCACAGTTCCAGTCCTTGAACTCGAGAGCGAGACGCAGCGCAAATCTCGCCGCGGAACACGGCGCATATCATGACGAGGAGAAGGGGGGAGAGCGAGAGGAAGCGCGGAGCGGCAGGGAAACGCGGTAGGCGGGGAGGCGGCTGCGCAAACGGCGGCAGAACATGGCTGGTTGTTGATTCGCGTTATCGTGTGATTCGGTGCACTGCTACAAGCCGCCCCGGTATAAGATATGTAAGCCATGAGTTCCAACGGTCAACGGTTGTTTCACCCCATATTCCTCTAAAGAGTCTAAATTGGAACATTTTATTGCAAGTTCCGTTACACCCACAATTGCAATGAAATGTGGCGTTTCTGTTCCAAATCTGGCGAAAATTGGTTCAAGCTTCGTAATTTTGATTCGGTGTTACCCTGTGATAGCCGAGCCCACTGAATCACGTGGAATGCTCTTCGGCAAAATGTCGCCACCCGAAACCACCGTAGCAGCGACACTCGCTGCACCCTGAACAATCGCACACAGGGCTGTCGCTACAAGAGCTGTCACCCGGACCAATCGCACATCAACCAAAGAGAGGAAACACAAAAGCAGGGGAGGGGGGGAATATCTGTACTTTGGCTTAGAGTTTGGCGATCGATCGTGCAACATCGATCCGCCACCGCACTAAAGTCGTTAGTACAAATTAAACCGTTTTGGACCTTTTGAAAATCCGAACCTGCGGTGGTTCGATCACGCAACTAAAGTAACCCTATGCCTCGCAATCGCCAGAACCTCCCAAATCGTTGACCATCTGGTTTGGTCGTTACAAATTTTCACGCCCTAATTCATCCCAAGCAGAAGTTCAGGACGTGTCTCAGGACGTGTCTCAAACGAGCATGTCCACGCGGGTCCGACGCGGACCCGACGGACCAGCTCGAGAACCAGCGCGTGAGCCAGCAACGGACTGGACCAGGGTTCGGGCTTGAGTTCCCGTTATAGCGTTCGAATGGCACTAAAACGGTGCATTCGATTTGGTCGCCGGACCAGTCCGCCCCCGGTCCGTAAACAGTAATCTCACGAACATCTCTTTGCGAGTCCTCTAACTCTCGTGCTTTTCTCACAAGATTATTCGGAAAGCTTCAAACGGGCACATGAAAAAGGGTAACTCAATTTCAGTACATAATTGTTTCGTCGTCACTACTGAAATTCGCAGCGACTGTAGCAACACATCAAGCAGACCAGTCCGCTTCTGGTCCACGGCTGGTCTGCCAGAAGGGCCCGTCGGACCAGACTTCGGACCAGGGAGCAAGCTACGGACCAGGTCCGCGCGGACCAGTCACATTGAGACACCCTCTCGGCTCGGACCTGGCGGACCAGCTCAAGAACCAGAGCCTGAACCAGGGGCGAACCGAGACCAGGATGCGGGGCTTGTAAACCCGTTATAGCGTTCGAATGGCACTAAAACGGTGCCATTTTTCGGTCCTCCGGACCAGCCCGCGCCTGGTCCGTAAACAGTGGGTGGTCGACGTTGTTTTGCGACATTTCTGTGTTTGTGAGTTTCGCGTGATACTTTTGTCCAGACGAAGCGAAAAGGTAACTCGATTTCAAATTTGTCGCTACTGCTGCAACTCGCAAATACTGTGCAGCCCGAGACGCGAAGCATCAGGCAGACCAGTCCGTTTCTGGTCCAGCGCTGGTCCGCGCCGCCAGACCAGAACCCCGGACCAGGCGTATCAATTCTGGTCGCGGACGAGATCCAGCGGACCCTTCACATGAGACACGTCCTCAGAGCAACATCAAGCATAATAGCCTCTGTGCCGCCATATTAGGTCACTTAGAGGAACCACAAATGCCATAAATTACGAATGCCACTAAGAGGAACTAAATCAGGCCATAAATTACGAATGCCATGCGGTTTATAGAGGAACCACTAAGAGGAACCAATTCAGGCCAAAAATTACGAATGCCATGCGGTTTATAGAACCACACTAAGAGGAACGCAGTTGGATTGGGGCTAGTTTGCGCAACGTTTAGGCTATTGCGGATGTATGGGAACTTGGTAGCCCCATATCCGCGCCGACGTGTATGCATTAGCGTTGATATCCCGTTACATTTTGTGCAAGGGAGTCCGTCCCGACATTCGCAGCCAACAGGAGCAAGAGATACACATATCGCGACGCGCAGGTGAGGAAAAATTGCCACGTTGTAGATGCCTCGCCGCGCCTCGCCGTGCTACCTCGCCTAGTTGGACGTTACCTCGCAGCGCCGCCACTCGTCTCGACGCCGAATTGCGGCGTCGCCTCGCCGCGCCGCTGCCTCCTAAGGCACTGAGAAAACGCCCTACTGCCGCCGCCGTGCGGGCGAACGTGCCTCCGCAAGATTTCATGCGGCGCCTGCATTCCCCTCTCCGTTCCCTGCCTTCCCATTTGCTCACAGCTGCCGCTCTACGTTCGCATTCGCAGGCGAGGCGAGCATTCGCAGGTTCGCATGCGCAGGTAAGCATTCGCAGGAGCATTAGCAGTCGCACGTGAGCAGTCGCAGGTGAGCAGTCGCACGTGAGCAGTCGCACATGAGCAGTCGCACGTGAGCATTCGCACGTGAGCTTGCTGTGGCCGCCGTGTCACTACTCCCCACCCCTCCCTGCCATCTCCCCTTTCCCGCTTTCCAATTTCCCCTTCCCGCCTCCACATTTCCCCTTTTCCGCCTCCTCGTTTCCCCTTACCGCCCCCCCATTTCCCAATTTACCCTTCCGGAGTCCCCATTTCTCCTTTCCGAAGCCTCACTTCCCCTACCCGCCTCCCCATTTCCCCTTCCAACCAACCACCCCATTTCCGCTTCCCACTCCCATTTTCCCTTCCCGCCTCCCCATATCCCCTTCCCGAAGCCCCATCTCCCCTTCCTGCCTTCCCATTTCCGCTTCCCGCATCCCCATCTCCCCTTCTTGCCATCCCAATTCCCCGCCTGCATTCCGCTCTCCCTTCCCTGCCTTCCCATCTCCCCACCTACATTCCCCTCTCTGTTTTGGTCCAACAGCATGCGCATTGCCACATTCACCCTACCAAAATCACTCATGCTCATGCGGCATGTCGTGTTGTTGTGCCGTAATCCCATTCTACCTCAATGTCCCTGGGGTGCTATGCCACGACGCCACGAGTTGCTTCTTGCATCTACTTTTTTGCTAGACGTCTCGAAACTAGGTCATGTGGTGTTGGTGTGTCGTGGTGGTCCCATTCTATTCTACCTCAATGTCCTGGGGGTGCTATGCCTGTCCTGGGGGTGCTATGCCTGTCCTGGGGGTGCTATGCCTGTCCTGGGGGTGCTGTGCCTGTCCTGGGGGCGCTATGCCTGTCCTGGGGGTGCTATGCCTGTCCTGGGGGTGCTATGCCTGTCCTGGGGGTGCTGTGCCTGTCCTGGGGGTGCTATGCCTGTCCTGGGGGTGCTATGCCTGTCCTGGGGGTGCTATGCCTGTCCTGGGGGTGCTATGCCTGTCCTGGGGGTGCTATGCCTGTCCTGGGGGTGCTATGCCTGTCCTGGGGGTGCTATGCCTGTCCTGGGGGTGCTATGCCTGTCCTGGGGGTGCTATGCCTGTCCTGGGGGTGCTATGCCTGTCCTGGGGGTGCTATGCCTGTCCTGGGGGTGCTATGCCTGTCCTGGGGGTGCTGTGCCTGTCCTGGGGGTGCTATGCCTGTCCTGGGGGTGCTATGCCTGTCCTGGGGGTGCTATGCCTGTCCTGGGGGTGCTATGCCTGTCCTGGGGGTGCTATGCCTGTCCTGGGGGTGCTATGCCTGTCCTGGGGGTGCTGTGCCTGTCCTGGGGGTGCTGTGCCTGTCCTGGGGGTGCTATGCCTGTCCTGGGGGTGCTATGCCTGTCCTGGGGGTGCTATGCCTGTCCTGGGGGTGCTATGCCTGTCCTGGGGGTGCTATGCCTGTCCTGGGGGTGCTATGCCTGTCCTGGGGGTGCTATGCCTGTCCTGGGGGTGCTATGCCTGTCCTGGGGGTGCTGTGCCTGTCCTGGGGGTGCTGTGCCTGTCCTCGGGGTGCTATGCCTGTCCTGGGGGTGCTATGCCTGTCCTGGGGGTGCTATGCCTGTCCTGGGGGTGCTATGCCTGTCCTGGGGGTGCTATGCCTGTCCTGGGGGTGCTATGCCTGTCCTGGGGGTGCTATGCCTGTCCTGGGGGTGCTATGCCTGTCCTGGGGGTGCTATGCCTGTCCTGGGGGTGCTATGCCTGTCCTGGGGGTGCTGTGCCTGCCACCACGAGTTGATATGCCACCACGAGTTGATATGCCACCACGAGTTGATATGCCACCACGACTTGATATGCCACCACGAGTTGATATGCCACCACGAGTTGATAAGCCACCACGAGTTGATATGCCACCACGAGTTGATATGCCACCACGAGTTGCTTGTTGCATGCACTTGGCGCTGGGAACCAAGGTTGCTCTGAGGAACCAAGGTTGCTCTGAGGAGGAGGCTCCTCCCTAAAGCCGCAAAGTGCTGGTTTGGCGATGTTGTGAGTTTGGATTTGTAGTCGGCCACAAAAGTGGTAACATTGGCAACACGCAACGAAGGTGACACCCCACCTCCTCGACTGCCAGTTGGATTTCCCGCGCCAACAAACTTCTGGACCTTGGGCTTTAATTCTATCGCGCCGACTGATAAAACCGTTCTTATCTGCCCTTTTTATAGCGTGCATGGAGAGCGATTTGCAGCTCGAGACAGCGCTGCTGGGGAAGCTGTTGTGTCAGAATCGCAGCCAACACCGACACGGGAAATATTTTCATGCTCTTCACCAGGTAACCTCGAATTCACCACTCCCACTTGTTCTCCACACACAACCAATCCGAATGCTCAATCCTCTAAGACCTGCATCATCATCTTATCCTCACCTCTCTCCCCAATCTCTCCCAGTCTGCTCCACCACGAGGGGCTTTCAATTCTAATGTTCTTGAGGTCGGATTTTTGAGGGTCGTTCTCTCTTCAAACCTCCTGCAGCGGCTACACAAGATTTGGTGACCTTTCAGTTGGCTCAAAAGTCTCCTCATCCTCTCCCCTCTCCCCAATCTCTCCTCTTCTCAGCTTCACCGCCGGTTACGGGACTTCCTCTCTTTGAACGTCCTCCAGCTGCTACAAGATATAAAAAACGCCTCGCCTCCAGTGCTGCTGGCTGTCGCGCAAAGCAAGGAGGTCAGCAGCCAGTCCAGGCAGCTCATCTTCTCTTTGCAGTACGTTCAAGAGGTAAGTTGGATTAAAAAAAAAAAAAAAAAAAAAAAAAACTTAACACGAACTGCCCTGAGGTGGGATGTCTTGTCCCTACAGTACGTTCACAAGGTAAGCTTGGTCTAGACGAACCTATGTTGGAAAAAAATCGCGTTCAGCATGTATACGTGTATCGTGTATACGCTAGTGTGTATACGCAATACGCTAGAGGGTCAGAAAGAGCATACGCTTGGGCAGCTAAAAACCTTGCACAGGAAGGGCAAAAAAAAAGCCAGGGCTGTTCGGGGGGATTCATGGGGGTTGTGTTTCAGAGTTTTTTTTTTTTTTTTAAGTCCTCTGTTGGTAGCAGGACTGGAAAGTGGAATAAGTTGGGCATTTTGGCAACCTGCTGAATAGCGAGATGAGTGGCGGAAAGGTGAGCACGAGTAGTTGGGGCTGGTTTAAATGCCTGCGGTAAGGTAAGAGTTGGAAACGTAAATGTGAATGTGCAAACGCGAGTCCAGGAAGTTGACCGTGCATTTGCAACAGCAATGTTGAACCACGTCCACGCTATCACAGACAGCGGACACTTCGACTTTGAAATTTGCTCCTCGTGCAATTCCGCAACTTTTGCCTGCGTATGGCGTATTCACTAGCGTTCGTTCAGCGTGTAGCATGTACATGCTCTCGTACATACACTAAACGTTAAGGGCCTTTAACGTATATTACAACATAAGAAGACACTAGGATTCTTCTTCATGCAGTTCCTTCATGTGTTGTTGGAAATCTCTTTTCATGATTTTTTCTCTGTCGTATGAACCCCTTCACCACCCCCCCTCTCCCCAACCCCCCCCCCCCCCTCCCTCCCACACACACACTCTGTCTCTTCCTTCACCGTGTTTCTCCCACTTCTTTATCTCTGCCTCGCCTCTCCCCATCTGCCCCCACTCCCTCTTCCCTCTCTCCTCCCCCATTTCTCATGCGCAACATCCTTTGTCCATTCCTCTTAGACCACGAGCCTCTTGATTAAGGCCGCACGGTAAGAGTTTATTCGAACACCATATTCAACATCGCAAACTCTAAACCCGGAACCCGAAACCCCGAACGTGTTTTTTTTCAAGCACCAACCCTCTCTTTTAACGTTTTGTTTCATTATTAGTGTGTGTAATGGTTAGCTCATTATTAGAAATTTCTAGGGGTTTACTGTGTCATGTATTCCATTCTTTTGCCAGCCTTGTAGCAGGCCTGATTATATTGGAGCGCTTCCTTCCTCTGTGTGTCACGATCTTCCTCTACATCCTCTTGCTTCAGGCGGAAGTTGTGGCGTTTACCCGGCTTTTATAGGCAGAGTGGTGCGCGTCTGTGTCCTTTCTGTTATCTTTGTGTTGCTTAAGGTATGTAATTATATGACCAATGCGCGTTCCTTTATCTGCAGCATTGTCTTTGTGTGTTTGTGTGCTTATGTGCTGAAGTGCTGGAATGTGTGTGTGTGTATGCGTGCGCGTATGTGTGTGTGTGTGTGTGTGTGTGTGTGCGTGCGTGTGTGTGTGTGTGCGCGCGCGCGTGCATGTGTGTGTGTTTACCTTGACAGTGTCAGCTATACCACATTTCGGTCTATAATCGCCTGACAGCCACAGCAGCAAGAGGCAAGGTAAGCCATGTTCCGCCTACTCATACTGCTCCTCTCACACTCTGCATTGCTCTGCTCCTCTCACACTCTGCATTGCTCTGCTCCTCTCACACTCTGCATGGCTCTGCTCCTCTCACACTCTGCATTGCTCTGCTCCTCTCACACTCTGCATTGCTCTGCTCCTCTCACACTCTGCATTGCTCTGCTCCTCTCACACTCTGCATTGCTCTGCTCCTCTCACACTCTGCATTGCTCTGCTCCTCTCACACTCTGCATTGCTCTGCTCCTCTCACACTCTGCATTGCTCTGCTCTGCCTAACTGCTCTTCTCATTGAGCTGTCCCCGTCTATCTTCTTCTTGCTTCTCTTCCCGCTGGCTGCCTCACTCTCATTCATGACCTCTGCTGACCTCTTGTTTTCCTGTTACTAAAGCAGCAGCTACTTTCATTCTTATCATCATTGCATGCAAGCCTCTACCTTGTCTTCCCCGCGGCCCTATCCTCTCCCCCCCCCGGCCTCCCCTCCCCACCCTCTCCCCTCTTCGCCCCCTTCCACCCCCTCCCTTCCATCCCTTCCGCTACTCAGGTGTCCCTTCCATCGTCTCTCCCTCCCCGACTGTACCACATATGGCAAGCCTCGACCCTCCTCGTCTCCCTTCGCCCATTCCTTTTGCCTGGGCCCAGCAGCATCAGCAGTAGCAGCAGCAGTAGCAACAGGCACAAGAAGACAGAAAGTGAGGTGCCTGATAATAGTGAAGACCGCGTTTTGCCCCCACAGAAGAATGTGGCAGCTGTTTCAACTGCACTTGCTCCTGTAGTAGCTGGAGCAGCCTCACCCGCTGCACCTGTTACTGGAACACCCGCTGCAGGCACACGTGCTGAGTCACAGGAAAGAGAAGGAAGGCGCACGAGGCTGAAGGGCCGAGAAGGAGCCGGGCGAGGAAGGAGAGTGGGGCAAGGGAGGGAGGGACAAGGGAGGGAGGGGAAGGAGAGGATGGTGGAGCGAGAGGCAGGGGTCCGTTTGGGCCTGATGGCCCCTCCATGGCTGCTCTGATGCAGGAGCTGGGGTTTGGAGAATTTGTTTCTGCCCCGGTCAGCAGCCTTGGGGGAAAGGAAGGGCAGACAGGCAGGGAAAGAGGGAGTGGGAGGGAGAGGGGGATGGGGAGGGGGGATGGGGGGATTCAAGGGGGAGAGGGGGCGGTGGAGGAGGGGGGTGTGTTTGGCAGTAGGGAGGCGTGGGGAGGGGAGGGGATGGTTGGCTGGGGCGATTGGAATGAGGGTTTTGGGGGAGATGATGGGGATGGGGGGCGAGAGGAGGGGATGAGGCACGGAGATGATGGTGGGAGGAAAGGTGGGGAGAATGGGGAGATGGATACTTGGGGGGGTAGAGGAAATAAGGAGGAGGACGAGGGGGGAGAGGGTGAGATGGACGAGGGGAGAGGAGATGATGGAGGAAGGGGATGGGGGGATGGAGGAGGGGGAGGGGGGGATGGAGGAGGGGGAGGGGGGGATGGAGATGGATGGTGAGGAGTGGGAGTCCATAGGGAAGAGGGAGTGAATGGGGAGGAAGTAGAGGAGGAAAAGGAAGAGGGAGAAGAAGGGGAGGAAGTGGTGGATAGGGAAGAGGGAGAAGAAGGGGAGGAAGTGGAGGATAGGGAAGAGGGAGAAGAAGAGGAGGAAGTGGAGGATAGGGAAGAGGGAGAAGAAGGGGAGGAAGTGGATGATAGGGAAGAGGGAGAAGAAGGGGAGAAAGTTGAAGAGAGGGAAGGAGAAGAAGTGAGGGAGAAGGCGGAGGAGACGGAAGAGGGACAAGGACTGAGTGAAGGAGGAGAAGGGGAGGAGTGGCAAAAGGATTCAATGGAGAGGAAGGCTGGGGTAGAGATAGGGCCGTTAAGCGTTGCAGCTGGAGAGCAAAAGGAGAGAAAAGGGATAAAATTGACAAAAATATGGTGTTGCGGCGAGTAGGGCCCCATATTCAACCTAGCAGGAAGAATGGCTGCACCAGGCAAGAATGAGATGCAAATATGGCAAACCCTAATTGGGTTGTACCCCTTATGGATTGGCTACCCCACTATAGCCTACACAACATATTTTGACACACCCCCATAGGCAAAGTGGGGAAGAACAAGCGGTCACAAGACCAGTCAAGAAAAGCAAAGCAAGCTTAGGGTGGATCACGAAGTCACCACACATTCCGAGCACAAGCAAATGGCCACAAGGCCAGTTCACATGGAGAGTTATATAAAGCAAAACAAACAGCCTCATACCCTGGATCTACCCCCATGGGGGGCTGTAATAAAACAGGTTTTTTTAGGGGGGTGGGCTTATAATCGAGTAAATTTATAAGCGCAGGCGCTTATAAAATGACATATATATATTTAGTATTTTCCAACACCAAACTGTAGATCTCGTGCTTGCCTTTTCAATCGAGTCGAAGTTACATGGGGGCTTTCGTGAAATTCTCGCGCGTGCTAGGAGGTGCACTCAATCAACAGCTCCTGCTGACTGGACTCGCATCCAGTGCAGGGTTCGAAAGTGAAGCGAACCGAATTTGCAACACATCCGCCTTCTAAAGCAAAAATCGTTACAGTGTGTTGAACCAATTTCATAATTTATAGTTCACATGCGCTTATAGTTTACATGCGCTAATCGAGGAGGGGATATATAAGCGTCATATGCAAATTAGAAGCGCCAGGCGCTTTTCCTAGGGTGGCGCTTATATCCGGGGGGTGACGGTACTGCGATCACAACCTAGCAAGAGTATGCATGTAGGTATATATATATATTACAGTATAAGCAAAGTGAGGCAGTGAGCAAGTGCAAAAAACGTAGGCACAAGGCCTAACGCAGTACAGAAACGGTGATGATCACCAGGCGGAAATGCCTTGGTCAATATTGTTGGAAACAAATAATCCAACGCTTCTTCTGTGTCGTAACATCATACTATAAACGAGTCGAACCACAGCGCAGCAATGGCGAGTCAACCGAGGAGGTTGATAGAAAAGCAACAGTCGGAGGTTACGCGAAGGTCAAAGGTCAGCGATCTTTGACTCGACAAATACAGCGCGACAGCAAGGACAAACAACTGACTCGATATTGAGCAGTTGCCCGAGTCGTGACTGTATCGAACCGCAACAGCAGCAGTTACAATTGCAGTTACAAATAAGTAGTTAGTTAAACCTTTTGTATTCCCTTGTAATCATATAAAAGCTTGTATCTCTTTGCTTTAATCAATCTATCTTGCCCTCACACACTAGCGCAAGGTGGTTCAAACCTCGTTATTAAACGCTTCCGCAATACAACATTTCTATTTAGATTCCTAGTCTTGAAAGATTCTAAGGGCCTTTCTTAGCCCAACATGGTATGAGAGCAGGAAGACAAGACTTAACATCTTTCATTTTAACTCCTTGCAACGACAAAGGACATGGCAACGCAGAAGGAGCATCGCTCGTCTACTTGATCCCCTAGTGCTACTCCTACCCCACCTCCAGCCTCTGGACTACAGACAGAGGGAGGCACCACAACAAGACCAGCTGCAGAATCCACTGAGATACCCGCAAACCAAGCGACCGGCTTCGACCCGAACATGATGGAGAAGTTTCTCTCCTTCATGTCGTCCTACGAGCAACAGCAGCAAGCTGCACATGCACAGTCAAACAACAGCAATAACAACGACGTTACCCCTATGAGTCTCGACGGCTCATCATTCGTGCGCGGAAATCAACAGCAGCCTACCTTTGCACCGTATGAGCCACAGCGCGGCTCCATCAGCTTCATGCCAAATCGCCTTCAACCATGACAAGAGCAAAAACCAGCGGACGCACTTCAGATGCAGTCACTGTTCGCACATGTACTAAAACTACAGACATCAACGCCATTCGGCGGAAAGGACTTCTATACCTGGTCCTTTGAATTCGAGTTAATGATGGAAGGCGCGCAAATCCTCGGCTTCTTTGACGGGTCCCTGCCATATCCAGTACACGGAAAACAGTACGACAAACAGCAGTACACATATCAGTCGCTGATGGCTTACACCATTCTTCTACGGAATTTGACGGCGAACGAGCAGCAGAACATCCGGTCTTATCGAGGATACGGCAACTCCGCCGAGCTCGCGTACAACCACTTGAAGAGCCTGTATCAAGCAAACGACAGCGTCAATCAGAGTCGTCTAATGACACAACTAACGACAGTTCAAATGCATCCCAGCAAAAAGGCAATGGCGTATAGCAGCAGATATCGCGGTCTGCGCGACAGGCTTCATCGATGTGGCGGCGCGTTATCCGAAGAAGCCTTTGTAACCGTCGTCCTTGCAGGTCTTGGACCTCAGTGGCGCTCCACGCGAGCCATTGTCCGACGCCACGGGCAAATCTCCGAAGCGCACTCTGCGCAGAACTTCACGCTGAACAGCAAGACATGGACCTGCATGAGGAGCGACACAAGAGAAAAACTTCAGTACCCAAATTTGCATTCCACACTCAACGGTGCTACAACAACAACAATCGGCAGAACAAGCATCAAGCACAACGACTCGTACCTCCGTTCTGCCATCTCTGTAAAACGTCTGGACACCCTCGCACACATTGCCCAAATCAGCAGCAGTCAACGCCACCGCAACGTCAACTTCGACCCTCGAACAGTCAGGTGGCCTCCACACAGGCACATCCTGCGAATCAAGTACAATCTTCAACAACACCCACGACACAACCTGCACAAGGCGCAAGAAACATCGTAAGCTGCATCGCAAGATTGACAGACTCCTGCATCACCAAATCACCGCCGCACTACTCACTAGAAGAACAACTCGACGAAAGCACTCCTTGCCGCAAGTCACTGGAGCCGAACCCGACGTACGCAGCCATCGCCCAGAGCGAGCCGTCCGGGAAAGACACCTGGTTCTTGGACAGTTGCTGCGGACAGCACATGTGCTTCTCGGGTTGCTTCGTTCAATGAGAGCATCAACTTCAGCGCGAAGTCGTCATCACCGTCGCCAACAACCAGAACCTGCGCACACGACGACAAGGCATAGTTCAACTTCAGTCGAGAGAAACCAATGTCATACTGCAAATGTCAAAGGTCTTAATCGCGGAGGGACTTGGCTACAACTTACTCAGCGTTAGTCAAATGATGGCGAAGGGAATTCATCTCGAAGCAGATAGCACCACGCAAGAGTTCAAGCTGTACCACGGAAAGGGCGGCCTCTACATCGGCAAGGCGGTCTTGAAGAACAACGTCTTCGTACTTGATTTCGTTCCAGACCGAGGCACTGCCGACAGCGACGCCATCGTCAACTTCACCTCTTGGACACACCCGCCAGATCTCGACCCCGACTTCAGACCTGGAGGCTTCTGGAACTCGCATACTATACCTGAAGCAGAACGAACAGGAGCATTAGTAACGATTCAACAACCGGCAGCACCAGAGACAACAACATTGGCAGCAGCAGAAACAACATCGACAGCAGCAGAGACAACTTCTGCAGCAGCAGCAACACCATCAGCAGCAGCAGAAACAACACAGGCACCAACCGTTGGTCCTTCAACAGCACTGGCCCTCACCGATGACACATCACCAACTCCTGCGCAACAGCTGACTCCCACTCCCCGAGAAGTCCACAGAAGCACCAACTTCACCGCCGGTTTTTATTCCAACTCCGACCTGTACAGGCGCTCACTCGGACGTCGCGTCAGCAAAGACATCTGGCATGCAAGGATGGGACACCCGAGCAACACAACATAAAACAATACGATAAGAGCTGGAGTACTTGACAAGGACTCATTACTCCTACACGACGACAGAAAACTTCAACGAGTCCGCGGAACGTGTTTTACCTGCCCTGAAGCCGACTTACCGCATCAGCCGTTCGTCTCTCACCACAACCCGAGCGCACCAGCATACGCACCACTGGAGAAGGTGTATAGCGACATACTGTACAATCGCGAACCCGGACAAGGAGCGTATAACTACGTCATCACGTTCATCGACGCCGCCACACGATACGTCTGGCACCTCAACCTCCCGAGCCGGGACATTGTTTTTGAAGCTTTCGTCGTCTGGCTTCCAGCAGCAGAATGGGAATCAGGAGCGAAGCTGAAAAGCTTCCAGTCAAACGGGGGAGGGGAATATCAGTTACAAAGATTCAAGCAGTACCTGGCAGAACGAGGCATCAAGCGTCTCAACTCCCTTCCCTACGCCCACCAACAGCAAGGCGTAGCAGAAATGATTAACAGGACTCTCCAAAACATCATGCGCAAGCTACTGCGTGGCATGCGGCTACCCAACCACCAGTGGCCCGAAGCAATGGACCATGCTGTGATGCTGCACAACTTGCTTTCGTCATCATCGCTTCCGAACAACGCATCACCACATCTGCTGTGGACAGCAATACTGGGCAGCACAAAAATGTTGCGAGTGTTCGGCTGCATGGTACAGTACCGACCCCCAACTGCACGAGCCGGCCGATTCTCTCAACGCGCACAATGGGGAGTACACCTTGGCATCGAAAATCATTACACCGCATGGAAAATTTTTGACGTCCACTCGAAGGAAACAGTAGCAGCACGTGACGTGATTTTCTACGAACGGCTCACCCTCCCAACGTACCTTGCCAACCTGGAAGAAGAACGAGACCCCACGGGAGGATTTCATGGTGACCGAGCCTTCGCTTCGGCAGCAGATGAAGCTGACTGGGACGAGCAGAACGTGGATGGAGCATCGGAGGAAGCCGGTGTCAGAATGAACGAACAGGAATGATTGAACTAGCAGTGAAATGAGTACAAGTACCTAACCTTAGAATTGTGTACCCCCTAAAGGCTAACCCACTGTAGCCTAAACAACCACAACATATATAATGTTTGACACACCCCCATAGGCAAAGTGGGGGAGAACAAGGGGTCACAAGACCAGTCAGAGCAAAGCAAAGCACAAGCAAGCTCAGGGTGGATCTCAAGGGATACCACACAAAT